TAAAATTGTTAAAGGACACTACAAAGCCAGAAATTAATCATGTTACTTTAGCAGATGGATCATTAGCTGAATGCAAGCTTGTAGGCTCAGCATTTGTTCCTAGTTTAGGAAGATATTCAGATAATGTTATGTTGGTTGAAAAACTTGATTTTTGTTTATTAAGTGCATCAAGTTTGTGTCTGCAAGGATATGACATCAAACTTAATAGCTCTGGGTGTACTGTATGGAAAGAAAATAAGTTGTGTGCCAAAGGTAAATTAGTTAACAAAGTATATGTGATATGTAACACGGATAGTTCACCAAATGTTTCCTGTGTAAATAACAAACCTATACATAGTGATTGTATTCATTACTTGCACAGAGTTTTTGGTCACGTGAACTTTAATTATCTACAAAAACTATCAAAAGTGACTGATTTAGAGGTAAAGCCATGTCAAAAGTATTTAGACTGTGCTGTGTGCTCTAAAGCAAAAGTAAAGGCACATCCAATACCTAAGAAAAGTTTAAACACAACTACCAGACCATTTGAATTAGTTCACGCTGATTTAGCAGGGCCATTTCCTCTTTTGCTTGGAAATGCAAAATTTATATTTGTGTTAGTGGATGATTTTTCACGATTCACTTATTGTATTATTTTGAAATCAAAGTTTCAAGCTTTCAGTAAGTTCAAAGAGTGGGTAGCCATGGTTGAGAGAAGATTTCCTTTTAAGGTATCATGTTTAAGGTCTGATCGTGGTGGAGAATTTATGGGGACACAATTTCAAGACTGGTTAAGAAAGAAAGGAATTAGACACCATAAAACAAACCCATATTCACCTGCTGAGAATGGTGTGGCAGAAAGAAAAATAGGCGTTTTGAAAACTATGAAAGACTGCATGTTAGTAGATGCAAAAATGTCTAATAGGTATTGGGCAGAAGCAATTTCCACTGCTACATATATCTTGAATAGAAGTTGGAGTTCATGTGTAAATAATACTCCATATTATTTGTTGCATAAGAAAAGGCCAGTTCTAAAACATCTTAGAATATTTGGAAGCTATGCTAATGTACTGGTACCTAGACAAACTAGAACAAAAGGTCAGAAAAAATGGCAGAGACTACGTTTTCTTGGCTACCAGGAAGATACCAAGGGGTATCGTTTTATTAAAGAAAATAGTAAAATTGTGATTTCAAGAAGTGCAAACTTTGAAAGGAGTGCAGGTTGGGAACATGTTCATCAGAATAGTGAAGTGTTTTTTCATTTAAAGGAACATGCACCAACAGGGAT